GACCTTGTTCTGCCATGGCCAAACTGTTGGCTACGGTTCTGCTAGAGAGTGACATTGTTACCTGTTGAAGGCGTGTGTTCGCCTGTTCCGCATTGCGTCGGTTCGCTCTGCAAGGTGACCTTTAAGTACTAACACTAGTTACTCGTACAGCCTCGGCGGCATCTTGCTCGTCTCCTGGTTGTTGTTGTTCAAGATGGCGAACTCGTGTTTAGTTCTGGGACTTGTGTCTTCTATTCTCGGGCTGACCTGTGTTGTGATCGCCCTGGCCAGTTCCCAGTGGCTGAAGGTTCGAGCCCCGTTTTTCCAGAACGACGTGGGCTTGATGAGGCACTGTGATGTGACCAGTCCATATTGTGGCGACATGGAAAACCTCAACGCCTTAGTCAACCACGACTATGCAGGTAAATGAAACAAACATAGATTCCACAGTTTTCTGTGAAGTCTGGAGAAAGGTTTATTGTTAGTTTAGTTTTAGGACAGTGAATTAGATAAACTTTTTCTTCCTAATTTTCCTTTCCATTAAAACATTGTCTTCTTCTTCTTCTTCTTCTTCTTCTTCTTCTTCTTCTTCTTCTTCTTCTTCTTCTTCTCTTCTTCTTCTTCTTCTTCTTCTTCTTCTTCTTCTTCTTCTTCTTCTTCTTCTTCTTCTCCTTTCTCCCTCCTCCTCCTCCTTCTAGTCCTTTCCCCTTCTTCCTTAAAACTTCGTATTCTTCTTTTTTCGTCCTGTCCTTTTTTTCTTCCTCCTCTTTTTCCTCTTCCTCTTCTTTATCCTCTTGTTCAGCTTTCTTGATTTCATCTTCCTTACAGATTCATCCCAATTACCAAATGTGGGGAAATAAAAGAGTACAGGACACTGCCTGACCAGTTCTTTCTCGTATCAGCAGATTCTGATGACCGCCAGAGGGCCTCACAAAATGGTTTCTCACCAGATATATTATTCTGTAGATATTATCATGATAACCATCATCATCATGAGGATTTCCCCTAGAAAACTCACCAGGAAGTATCTTCAAGAAAAATGGTGCCGGTACCCACTACAGTTTACTGCGGTAATGCTGAAAAATATTTGCCTAAAAAAAAAAGGTGTGGGTACTGGTACTGTTGTATACCACCAGAGTAGTAAATTATAGTTTCAGCAGCGGAGAGCAAAAAATCAACCCACTGTCATCCTGTTTGGACAGTGCTATGAGAATGGTAACATGCAGATTGGGGCCTCACCGCATAATTGAATTCCTCCAGACAGCAGTGGTTAAACTGTAACCAACTGTTTTTGTGGAGACGCACATCATTTGTTTTTTCATAGTAACAAGTTGGCCCTGACAGAAATCATGTTTACATTTTTGTGAATTGTCAATATTATTCTTGGGTATTCCTCTTGGTATTCTGAAAATGTTTCCTTCAAACCTGCAGAGAGAGAGAGAGAGAGAGAGACAAATTCAGTCATTTGTCTCCAGCGAGGGAGATTTATAATGACTAGTTTAATCCCAGGAAGGAAATCAACTATTGAGTCAGATAAAGTAATTCATTCAGTTATCACTATATAGACAGTCACCAAAGAAGAACTAAGAACAATGGTAGGCACAGTACCGATAATTGATTTCACAAAACATCAGAGAATCAAATGTTTCGGTCATCTGGTCAGAATGGAACAAAATCACCCAGCAGCTAGAGTGTGTACTATATGAGAACAGCAGGCTACACAGTAAGAAGCTGACCCAGAAGGAGATGGGCAGAGGGAGTAAAAGGGAGACTTCAGAAATGTGATATGACATTAACACAAGCTATGACACTAGCAAAAGATAAGAAACTACATCTAACTCCTCTCTGTGATGCTTTAATGCATAAACAGAACAAAAGGAGAAAGAATGACCCTACAGTTAAATCAGCAGATGTAACAATCAGTATAATTGAGTGTACCCCACAGTCTCAGACATGGTGTGTACCCCACAGTCTCAGACATGGTGTGTACCCCACAGTCTCAGACATGGTGTGTACCCCCACAGTCTCAGACATGGTGTGTACCCCACAGTCTCAGACATGGTGTGTACCCCACGGTCTCAGACATGGTGTGTACCCCACAGTCTCAGGGATAATAGAGGATAATCTGTATCCACATCCATTCGTCCCCTCTGGGCAGCTACTTTAACATATGAACCCCTAGGATTAAAAAAATTTCAATCTGGATGGCAAACCCAACAGGGCAAACAGACCCCAGAGATCTAGTTCAGCCTTCAGAGATGTTATAATTGGAAGCCTTGTAACAGCTGCACCAGTCTGTGGAACCTGAAGTCATGTGTGGGGCAGGATCGGCTAATTGTGTTGATAGTCATCGATATTTACTGTTCTAGGGTTACCTCAAGGTACAGCACTCTGGGTGTTTATCCCATTTTGAATGAACGGAAGAATGAATAAAGAAATGCAGCCAAGATGCAATCAAGCCAGTCAAGTTGTAGGACAGATAGCATCAATAGTGAAATGCAAGCATGTGAATACAAACACTAAGAGAACACTATTCAAAATAATATTCTTACCAACTCACTACTTGAGTTCCTTTGTGCTCCTCTCCAGTATCAGACATGGAAACAATTATTGGTCTTCATGATCTAGAAGATAGGAGAGACACAAAGCTCCTCACCCAGCTCTCCAAATACCACCACTTTCAAGAACAACCCATGTACAGCCGACTGCAGAAACTCCAGAAGGCTAGACTAAAGAGAACCTGTTTTATTAAGAACGCAAATGCCAAGCTCGCTGTCCTTAAACTCCCTCCCATAATAACAAATGTTTCACTGAAACCTTACAATGACTGCCCCCCCCCCCCCCTCCCCTTAGCTCAGGGATAGCCTACCAACAGTCAGAACGACTGTAACAGGGATCTCCTCCAAATCATCAATGAGCAGCACTGGTATGAAATCAACTACGGAAGGAGAGATGAACAGACTTGATCTACACGAGAGTTGGATTCGAGTGTATACAGTTGGTTCAGCCAAGAGAGTAGTAAGTGACGGAGGAGGAGGAATATACAAAGAATGCCCAAATGGTTTAAAAATCAGCCAGGCTGTACCAACAGGTTCATATTCCTCCAATTACAGAGCAGATGCAGAAGCACTTCTGGTGGCATGTTCTTTCCTGAATGGACAACAGCACAGCAAATATAGCAGAGTGGTCTTTCTGACTGATGCTATGTCAGTTTTACAAGCAATTGTTAACCCAAAAGGACACTCAGTTTGTAGACTTGACGCAAACAGCTGATTTTACTTAGGCTCTTCAGTAGAACAATCTGTACTGCAGTGGATTCCAGGTCACTGTGGCTTGGAAGGCAATGAAATAGCGGACAGATTAGCCAGAAGCGGCAGTGACATGGTACAACCAAATAGCGACTTAACCCACCAAGAGATGAAAACATTAATACAATCTAGTATCCAAGAAAGGTGGCTGGATACCCACACCAGATTTTCTCCCCAAGACTCACTTCATCGCCTCTCTAGAGAGGGACATTGTATTATATTCAGAATAAGGACAGGGCACAACAGATTTCGTCAACATATGCTCAAAATTTTCGGTGTAGGAAATACGGAGACGTGTCCCTGCAGTGTGACACCCGAAAATTCTGAGCATGTGCTCAGACACTGTCAACTGTATGCTGACAACAGAGATGCAATCTGGCTTGTTCCAACAACAAGAAGACCAAACTGTCTGGTACACGAGGAGATATGGATTGCGCGATAGCTTTCATAAAGGCTATCGGCCTCCTGATATAAGTTTTTCTGACAGAAGGATCAGAAGAGACTGCTTTCAGTGTCAACCACGGACTCTGTCATCAGAACACGGAAGAAAAATAGTCACAACAGAAATTAAATGTTTACATACTATATTGGGTGTAACAAGGAAAGATTTACTTAGGAACGGTGATATCAGAAAGGGAGTTGGCACAGAACTGTCACTGTATTTTACCGACAGACAGTAGATCAGGTGGTTTGACCATGTTGCAAAATTGACAACTGACAACGCACCACAGAAAGCAGTCTTATTCAGATAGCAGCAGTAACAGGGCTAGGGGTTGACTATGCAGAACCCTCATAGATATATACGAAGCGAAAGAAGGGCCCTTTCCAGAGATCTCTTCCTGCCCTGGTGATGCAAGGCATTCCAGGAGTAGAGAACAGAAGAGTTGACTAGTCTTAATGGTTCTTTCATGTCTTCTGTCTTAATCCTTAGGATGGTTCCGGACTGTGCAAGCCATGTATCTCCTTCACTGTTTGGGACTCCTGATCTCCGCAGTCGCCTACCTCTTGTACCTCATCAGGTTTCTGGAGGTCAAAGGCAGTTTCCGAGCCTTGGCCATGTTAAATTTCATTGCGTGTAAGTACTGTCATGTTACTGTTCCTAATTTCTCATGCTTGCCAGTTCTGTTATAATGCTGAAAAATTGTTTTTAAGCATTGTAGATTCTCATGCTTGCCAGTTCTGTTATAATGCTGTAAAATAGTTTTTAAGCATTGTAGATTCTCATGCTTGCCAGTTCTGTTATAATGCTGTAAAATAGTTTTTAAGCATTGTAGATTCTCATGCTTGCCAGTTCTGTTATAATGCTGTAAAAATTATGTTTTTAAGCATTGTAGATTCTCATGCTTGCGAGTTCTGTTATAATGCTGTAAAATAGTTTTTAAGCATTGTAGATTCTCATGCTTGCGAGTTCTGTTATAATGCTGTAAAATAGTTTTTAAGCATTGTAGATTCTCATGCTTGCGAGTTCTGTTATAATGCTGTAAAATAGTTTTTAAGCATTGTAGATTCTCATGCTTGCCAGTTCTGTTGTAATACTGTAAAATTGTTTTTAAGCATTGTAGATTCTCGTGCTTGATAGTAATGTAACTTTACTGAATAGTTAAATTATTCTTATGAATATTGTAGCATTATAGTTTGAAGTTGTGTTTTTAATTACTGTAACATTACTATTTTTAACATTTATAACGTTAGATATTCACTTATTGTGTGAAATGTTCTGCAGAATCCCATCAGGTTGAAACTAATAACTGAGATATTATTAAATAATTCAATTCTCCTAGTTATTCATTTCATGAGTGAGATCTTCTTTCTATCAGTCAGTCAAGTGCTGTCTCCACAATGAAGGTTGGCTGCATTGGATCTCCAACACCCTCTATCTCGCCTCTTTCTTGGTTGTACACTCACTGAGACTGCCGTTCTAACTCTTGATATTGTCCTCCCACTTGTATCACTGTCTACCACTTGCCTTCCGTTTTCTCCTTTTTTTGTTTTGTTTTTTATAAAAGCACTATGTCTTTTTGTGTGTGGCTCCGTGGCTTACAGGTTAATGAATGCCCTTAACAATTTCCTGATCCTTAAGTACTGGGATTCAGTTTATGCGGGCAAGGCACAGTATATTTAAAATAAGAAAATGTTTTTGTGGTTTCGGGACAGTGGTTTCACCAGGTAAGAGATTGGGGCCTCGTGACGTATTATTTCAAAGCAGCGCTGGCAGCACTATAGTCAACTTTTGCTGAGGAGATGGCACACAGTTTAACAAAAAAATTGACTTTGAATGTTTGAATTATGATTTTTTAAATTTGTTTTAAATTGCATATCATTTACAGGACGTTGCATAACAACCCTAACTTGTTTTGCTGTTATGGTTTTTCTAGGCAAATTTATGTCCAGTAGTTTGCCATTGCTTTCTATACTGTCGGCTTCTCAATACCACTCAAAACCTGCGCAAGGTGCAGGGCCCGTAGCTGGGATCGAACCCAGCACCCCGGTATTACGAAGTGCGTTCACAACGCCTAAGCCACAGATGCCGACTTATCATATATATTTGCTAAAATATCAATTACATGTGCAACCTCTGTGGTGTAGTAGCTAGATGCTTGCTTGCAGATCCGAAGGTCGTGGATTCTTATCCTGATGGAAACTTAACTTTTTTTCAAAAATGAGGTCACCAGGTGAAGTTACCACATCACCAAAAAAGAGCTGATTGGTCTCTAAAATAAGGTCTAGCCATATATTCACATGATAGCTGAAAAAGGGTCTTTCACTTTATTTTGTTGTCAATGACCTCTAACACTGTGTCATTGTATGTTGACTTGACTAAGATATTGACTGAATTTTTGGTGTATGAATTGTCTTCGGGGTCAAATATTTTTTCAACATGCCTAGGTAATCTCTCTTTGGTTGTTATTTCAGTGGTTGCCGGAGTCTTCTCTGTGACAATGTTTGGGGTTCAAATGGAGGAGTTCTTCGGTGTCGCTAACCCATCACTTCCTGACGGTGTTGCCAGCTTGGGCTATGCTTTTTACATGGCCATTCTAGGCTGCTGTCTGTCTTTTGTGGTGTTGATGCTCAGTGCAATGGAGGCCATCCACGCCATTGACCTGATCCGGGACATGCAGAACCGCTTCACAGTGTGGACAACACCCTACACCTTGTTTGTGGAGGAGGAGCCTTGAGATCTTGGATTCAAATGATGGGGAGTAGAAAGAGATAGAAAAGGTTAATTATTAATATTTTTTTCTCTTCCCCTGATCATTGAGGTCTAGTAGAAATATTGGATTTCAGTATTGCTGCTAAACTTTATTACTCAATCATAACAGTTCTCATAATTTGTTACTCTATTGCCAGATCTTGTTACTCAATCTTAAGTTCTCATAATTTGTTACTTTATTGCCAGATCTTGTTACTCAATCTTAAGTTCTCATAATTTGTTACTTTATTGCCAGATCTTGTTACTCAATCTTAAGTTCTCATAATTTGTTACTTTATTGCCAGATCTTGTTACTCAATCTTAAGTTCTCATAATTTGTTACTTTATTGCCAGATCTTGTTACTCAATCTTAAGTTCACATAATTTGTTTCTTTATTGCTGAATTTGGCTGCTGAAATTAAAAACATTCACAGAATTTGCTGCCTGTTAAATCTTTACTGCAATCTAGGAAAAAAAAAAAAATACATGATTGATTTGCTGAGGATGTTTTATTGTGAACAAAAAATTTCTTGGAATTAGTTTACTAATTTTTTTCTCAAGTCAGTCTCTGTGCATTTTTGTGTGGAGGCAGACTTGGTAAAGGGATGTAATATTGCTTGAATTTAAAAACTATTTCTTTTGCTAGTTCTGTCCCCTCATGGAGAAATGATGCGGTGCAAATATTTCTTGCTAAACTTGAAATGCCCATTTTGTTATTTTAGCCTTGGAAAGAAACTGATCTATAAATGGCATTAGTAACAAATTATAAGCACAGATTGCAGCGTTAGTGACTATGCAAATAGGGAATGTGGAACAAGATACAATGTTGAGATTAAAACGTAGAGTGTAATGCTATGTATTGTAGTCTTGATTAGAAATAATGATCTTTGCTGGTTAGAGAAATATTGTAAATACTTGGATTAACTTGTGTGTTGTTAATTTGAGAATATAATTGAATTAACTTGTTTATCTGCTAATTTGCAAATATATTATTGTTTGTTGGCTGTTTGAGAACATGAATTGTTGCTGGTGTATTTGTTTGCCTACCTCAGTTTATCTGTGCGATGTTCATATCTGATGTTACTTTCACACCCGCTATCAACTTTGTGTCTGTCATTTTTTTTTCCACATCTGTTGCAACCTAATGTATAATTATTTTCACATCCATTACCAACTTAATGTCTGTAATTATTTTTACATTGGCTATCAACTTAATGTCTGTTGTTATCTTCATTTGCCTGTTCACTTTGTTAGCTTATGAGTGGGATCAGTTCTGTTATGTTTACAATGTGATAATGTTACCAATACTGACTGAGTTAGCATGTAAAGATTGACCATGGCATATGCCAGTGTAATGATGCGAAGTTTTTGGCCTCTCTGTATACACCATTACACAGTGTACAGAAATGAAATCAGTCTGTGTGAAACATGCAGCAAACTAGTAATAATTTGTTACGTCCTTCTTAGGACGTTATTTTTTGTTATTTGAAGCCCCACTCTGGCTTTTGCCAGGGGCCGCAATATAGGCAGGTCATCATTATGGCCAAATGTCTGAATGCGGTTTCTGGGACCTCTCCACGGCGATCCTCATCCGCATGGTGGCACTTTGTGTCATCGGGTGTTTATCGCTTGTGTGATGTCCTGGTGGGGTAAAAAGCCAATCCAAGCCAACATGCAGCAAATTCACTGAGAAACAGAAGAGCAAATGGTTTGGTCATGTAAAAATAATGCAGCCACAACAACAACCACCGGTGCAGGCGCTACACCTGAAAAGCTCTAATGTGAAAACAAGAGGTTGCCCTAGGAGCAGATGGACTGATGACATTAAAGAGCTGCTAAATGGACACAGAAACAGAAGCCCTTGCTGCCTATCAAGCAAACTGTTGTTCCCACAACGCTTAACAGCAAAAGTCTAAATTGATGATGATGACACACTCAGGAACATTCTAAGCATTGATGGACCTTCTCTGTGACATTATCATGTGCCTTGCTGGCTGACTTATGCATTCCTGCCTCTCCACATCTCATTCCTTGTAGTCCCTTGGTGTTTGACATTCATTTCAGGGATGAAGTTCTTTCATGCCACCTCCTTAGACTGCTCAGCAAAATTTCCAGCAATCGTGATATTGTACAAATCTGTTTCTTCTCATCAAATACACAAGAGCCCTGACTGTCTTGTTAATGAAAGTTACCTACATTGTCCCAGTTTCCTGGGCTTGTTCCAGGCAGTTTTTAGTTGTGACCCATCTTTATTTCTTAGTGTTCACTGGCTGTAAACTCAGATGAAAAGTTCTGGTTGTTCATCCATCTCTGGAATTTGATCTTGCTCCAGAACCTGAGTTGTGCATGCAGATCTCTCTTAAAGATCCGGCTCATTTATATTTCCGCTGTTGACTGCTCGCCTCTTCGGCAAGTGCACTCTTTTTTCAAAGGAAACACCCTAATAAGTCACCTTGTACAACATGCTTGTGGGTTGGGGGGGGGGGGGGGGGCAGTGTGTCTCTCTCACCCTCCCTCCTTTCTTGAAACTACACAGGGAGTCCAGATATTCACCATCTGTGTCTCAGAAACCAATCTTTGCTGTCCCCAAGATTGTCCTCATTTGTTCGTTATGTCTTGAATGGATCGGTAATATCCTGCACACCAGAACTACTACTACTTTGCTTTCATCAGCGGTAAACTCTGGCGGAGAGTCCTGGTTGTTTGTCCACTTCTGGACTTTAGTCTGGTTCCAGGACTTAGGTGTTGCGTGCACATCCATTGTACGGATCTGGATTGTTCACCTCAGACACTTTGGTTGCTTGCCTCTCATGTTGAAGGAACTGCTCATCTCTGATGGCCAGGAGCCCAACTGGGAAACAGTTTCTAGGATGACCACAGAGGGGTGTAGGCAGATGTTGACCAGCCCTGGCCCTGGTGCCTGGGTGTGCATAGTTCAGCACCCTTGCCTCCCACACAGCAGCAGAATAGATGTGTGTTTGTGAGTCTGTTCTTGTGTAGCAGATCATTCCGACCCCCACTTGGTGGCGCTGTTGTTAGGTGAATCATCACAGATCAATGTCATGTTCAAGTTCAATGTGCCTTGACCTGAATTTGGGTGAGAGGCTACCAGTGTTTAAGAGTATACCTGTAACTGTTTGACTTTGTACTGAAACATTTGATCTGATTTCCTCTTCGAGACCTTGTTAGATTTATCCATGAACTTTGCATAGTTTGGATTGTTTCCCCTTGCTAATGAACAAATATGTGTTTTGTATCTTTTTTGGTAATCAAGAAATGTACATCTGATTTAATTCTTTGTTCAGATTTGTTTGTTTACAGAAATAATGTCAAATAATAAATAATTATTTGTTTAAAGATAATTGCATGACTCCAGCCACAGTAATGAATGGATATTACCCGCTGTATCTGATGTTACTTTGAGTTTATATATTATACTTCTGTTGGTAGCCAGCTGTATCAGGTTGTGATACAAACTCTTTCTTATTGCAACATACTGGAAATGAAGAGGCTGAAAGATCACCAGTGAAAGATAAAAGACAGATACAAAGATTGTCGAAGAAAGGAAGGACTGTATCAGTTTGTTATAATCTACAATGAGACCAAGAGATTTGATAAAACTAAGTGAAAACCCCATCATTCAAGCCAGCCATAAAGATAATACATATCTGCATCCTGATTGAAGTGAACAAGTATCATTCTTCAGACTGCATGCAGGATGTAACAGCTGAAATACAACATGTTTAGTAAGCTAAGGGCGGGGGACTTGGAGGAATATTCTGAATCACACGCACATTTGATTTGAGAACAACATTTATGGAGATAGCAGAATGCTAAAGTCAGGTGCAGCTTTCTTTAAACATTTGTAGATTGACTCTGAGCGATGGAAGCAGATATGTTTTTCTTAAAAATAGAATTTAGTTTGGCCAAATTAACTTTCTCAAATGCATATTCCATGTATATTTTAATAACATATTTTAGAGAGGAAAATTCTCCGCACAATGTCACTGTTCTTAACAGTCTCCTCTCGTTAAAACAGTGAAATTAATTATGGTGGCTGTGTTCTTGTGGACCAGAATTCTGAAAGTGTCAGACGTCCCATCTGCTTGCCAAATATTTGTGTCCTACCGCAGTGTCATGTTTACTACTCTTCCATGATTGGATAAAAACTGGCATTTTGGTGCATCTCCCTGTAATGAAGACAACATTTGTGTATGTTTACTTTGTGCTGGAGTTCAGGATCATCAGCTTTTTTGTACTTGGTATGAAGATTTGTCTAGAAAGTAAACCAGTATTTGTTGTAATTCATTTTCCAAAATATCAACTGATATATGTTGTATATAGATTTCTTTGGAAATTAAGCAAGATATGTTGTATATAGATTTATTGGAGTATTAACCATGATATTTTGTACATGTGAATACAGACACATTGTTCTGTTATAAAAAAAAAATACCTATCAATTTCTTTTTTGTATTTAAAAGTATTTTTTGTTATTGTTAACAGTTGATGAACTTTTTCTTCTTTACGTCGTCTTTACCACTTCGGTGTCGAGGGAAATGCTTCGTGCTCTTCTGGCTGCTTACACAATAGACACATCATGGTGCTGTAGAGTTTCTCTAATGTTATCTTTCCATATTCTTTTTGGTCTACCTCTTGCTCTTTGTCCCTCTCCTCTTTTGGTATATGCCTTGAATGGTATAGCATCAGAAGACATTCTCTCCCAGTGGGCAAACCATGTGATTTGTTGTCTTCGTATGTAATTTAGAATTAACTATTATTCACCGTCCTTTTTAGGATGAAATGTTTCGTTATTTGAAGCCCAACCCTGGCTCTCGCCAGGGACCACAATATAGCCAGGCCATAAATATGGCCTAATGGCAAAACGCGGTTTCTGGGACCTCTCCACAGCGATCCTCATCCACATGGTGGCACATTGTGTCATCGGGTGTTTATCGCTTGTGTGATCTCCTGATGTGGTAGAAAGTCAGTCAGTCAGTCATTTAGAATTGGTTCTGTGCCAACTTTATCTCGTCTGACCTCATTCCTGATTTGATCTCTTCTGGTCACTCCTACAGCCTTTCTCAGACATCTCATTTCTATGGTTACTAGTTTTCTTTTATGCTTTGTTGTGGGTGACCACGTTCGGCACTGGTAGCATAGAATGGGAATGAATAAACTTTGTATGAGAGGTCTCTTTGTGCTGATTGGGATTGCTTTATGCTGTAAAGGGGTGGGGGGGGGGGGGGGGGGAGAGCTAGCTGCCATTATAAATTTTCAGCAGAGAAATAAACATCTTTTAGGAGAAATACAGTTTATAAATTGTTAGGAAGGTTCACTGTTTAAGCAGTCACAATTTTGGCTCATGCTTCCTGCAATGGAAATAACTTGTCTGGCCCAGGTTTGGTATTCAGATGATGATGATGACGACGATAGTGCTAACTTTAAAAAAAAAACTGCTGTCAGTTAAACAATTTATACATGGCTTTGTATCAGAAACGTTTAATAGAAACTTTCCTAACATGGTCTTAAACATTGTTTCTGAGTGTGATTATCTGTGCGTGGTCTCTTTCTCAAATATTTCATATCCAAGTAATTTAATCTCACATCCAAGAAAACAAATTCTAGTGAATCAAGAGATGAAGGAAAGATGCAGCATTGGACATGTGTAACTAGAATGTCTTTACACTTGAACCCACAGTGACATGGGAAAAAAAGGCAGCATCCCCTCCCCTCCGAAAATAAAACGATAGAGAAGGAAGCTAGAAAATGAGGTCAAACGAGAGAGGGGGTTGGCATAGGGTTGGTTGCATGCGATAGCAAAAAGCACGATGACCTGGCCTGGGCTGGTTGAGGGCCTTTGCTCCATTTGGGAATAATGGAAGGAGACTTATTCACAAAGCATTTAATGAGAGAATCCATTCTTGTCAGATGAAGCCGACCTAGATTTTCTTGAGCGTAGTCATTGAGTTGTTTTGTGTGAACACATAAGTGCATATGTTATCCGGCTCCCTAGCACAGTTAGCTAAACATCGGGTGACGAACTCCTTGTGGTCCGGGGATAGGCAGAAAAGCCACATTTCTGCCAGATTCACGGTATCTATAATGGAATCAAGGCCGAAGGGTTGCGATATCCATAGTACCGAGGCAAAGGGTTGACAACTCATGGTCTGGATACTTTAAACATGTGCATACGTGGGTAACCAGCCATGTCAGTGCTTTTGTTGCAGCAATGGCCTCGATTGTGAGTATGCTGGTTTAGTAGCAGGGGCAACTACTCCTTGCCTTGATCATTCTGGTTCTCGATGAGCTCATAAAGTACGCCAGCGCACGTCACTTGTCGCGAGTGACTCATCTGTTCGTGTAAACAACAGCATCGTCTATATCTGCTAGCACAGACAGTTTTGTGAAAACACATAAGGAATATACACGATGTAATGTAAAGGATATCAACAACTTTATTGTGGCATACAAGAAACACACTTAGAGGATACCAACATTTTTACAGGCATGATGCAAACGTGAACTCTGTCTCAGGAACACAACCTCACAGACGTTTCTTTACACCAGCCAAAGAAATATGAGGTTTGAAGAGCAGATTGTGGACTTCAATTCACCAGATTAAGCCTGTATAACTATCTGTCTTCCCTCCACATCGTCTAGTTGTGTGCAGAGAGTCTCACACAAAGCACAAACTCCATAGCTCCAGCGCGACCTCAAAGGATGAATATAAAAGTTGGACCGGTGAACTGAACGACGCAGGCTGTGAAACAAACCCATGATCTTCAGGGCGCCAGGCTTGGTCGCTTGGTCACAGAGACCGCCAGCAAAGGAATGTAAAAGTAACAATAGAAATATAAATCAACTGCAAGTGAATGTCTTTAAGTGCATAGTCAGAGTATAAAGTTAGAGACAAGTGTCTTGTAGGTACTTTCATTGAAGGCAATTTGTCACCAAATTAAGAGGTATGGCTTGACAAAACAAAGACTGGTTATTTACTAGGCCACGTTATCAATGTGGCCGACCTGAGCGGCACATGATGATGGTCACTAGATATGACGTCATCAGTCAGAAGTATTCATATTACAGCAGCTTCTACAGGGGCTACTTGGCTGAAAAGATTTCTGGAACATATTGTCACTAAATCATTTTTTTTTTAAAGTACAAGAACACAAGACGCGATGAGACCGATCCACTGAAAACCCTACCACACAGCAACTGTTTCTGGGAATTGTAAGGTTTAACATGTCTCAAGGGATAGACAACAAACAAGAATATGTTCCTAAATCATTGCAATTTCGTTCTGCTAGCAAATTTCAATCAATTCAGAAGCCAAAATGTTTGTCAAAGTGTTTAATCCTCGTGATAAATTGAGTAGGCAGTGTAACACTAAGTTAGTTCCATATTTTGAGGAAACAATCCATGCTATGCTGACGATGAAGTCAATATTACCCATGTCATCTTTACGAGCGTATTTCCGACAATATTTCCTGGAATCAGTTTTAGCCTGGGTCGACATGAGAGTCAAAAGACTATATTTAAACAAATTCCGGCAGGAATGGAAACAGTGACCAGCGAGTCAGCGAGCACGGGTGCTAACTACTAGACTATAAGCCAAGAGCAGCAGTTTTCGTGCTGCACTCACTAGAGACCAAGAGAGAACAAACAATTGTTGTCAACATTAGAAGGAAAAAGTCTGCCCATGACTGCAGACAAGAACTAACACAACACCAGACGTCATTTGGTGCCTTATGTGCCTCTTTTTTGGGTGTAACATTCTGCGGGATTGGAAGGGGGAGGGGGAGGGGGGTGTCTTGAGCTTGAATATTTAGGGTCTCATTTCTAGTGCAGTCGTTACGGATTGTGCAGGTTAGGATGTTTATTTTTGGCTCTGACAAAATGTGTCCTATGTGACTCCGCCCCCCCCCCCCCAAGGGACCCCCAGTTTAATATGCCTACTTTACAGGACGTTGCAGAACCATACCCATCATTTATTAGCTCTTGTGGTTTTTCAAGGCAAATTGTACCTTCGGTAGTTCGCCAGTTTGTGAACGGTCGTCTCTCAATACTACGAAGCGCGGCCACAGCGCCTAATCCACAGGCGCTGACATATTAACTATAAGGGGGTAAGAATACTTTTTTAAAAAAAAGTATATATTCGCAAATAATTCAATGTATGAAACCAAACACACTAATATTTCTAAACTATATTCTAATAAACTATTTCGGTCTCATACAGTGATGGATTCAACAGTGTCTGTGTTGAAGTGTTTATATCCTAGAGCAGGGTCATTCAACTAGCAAGTGGCCCGCGGAAGCCTAGCAAGTGGCCCGCGGATCATTGTCAGTTGTATTGTGTTAATGATCTTTTCATGCTAGAACCCGCGCCTTCGGCCCTTGACGATCCCATTTTCAACATTTCGGCCCGTGACGATCCCCATTTTCAACATTTTGGCTCCCAAGAGATCATTTTCATCGCACATCGGACATGACCATAACTGCTCCGATCTTCTCCTGAGTATACCTCCATGTGTTTTTATTCTAACAACTCCCATTCTGTTCTGGTTGATGTAACGACCGGTGGCTCCCGCGTGGTTTTCCTGTCTCGCGACTCCCGTTGGTATACCCAGGTTATGCCATCTATTCAGTTATAAATCATTTCCCACGAAACTGAAATCCTCACAGCGTTTAGTCTCTCGTATGGCACTGATGATGTCTCTCCTGTCTATAGAAGCCCCCATTCCTTAAAGTCGCACTGCCAGCCAGAGCATCTGCTCTCTCATTGCTTACCACACCACCATTCCTGCGACAAAAATGGAGGTGATTGCGGAACACTGCGTGTTGTATCAGATGGAGCTGCGTTTCCGCATGTACACCGCCCCCTTCCCACTCCCCCACCCCTACAACTTTATTATTCTGTAGCATGATCATTGAGTGTTTTAATCAGAACACAACGAACGACCATGAATAAATACAACCGTAGCGACGAAGTTGCGCTGGAATTCGCATACGTTACTTCTAGTACTCATTAAACAACAACCCAAATCAAATCAAAGCAATCAATATTTGGAGAAAAACAATAACTGCTACTACTACTCGTGAAATAAAGACACAGATTGTGTCCATACCTTCGTGGATGGTTCTTCTCTTGTCTATTGTCTTCTGATATTTAGCCACTACTTATCCCTAGCTGGCACCTTTCCGTCTTTCCAGACGACTTTCCGTCTTTGCGGACTACTTATCCCTGCTGTCACTTGTTTCCCACTCCCTCCCCCTAAAAAATAATGTTGGTACGCTCTTACATTGTAACAGATTTCAAATGATCATGTCAATCTTGCCTCAGTTGTATTTTCAAAAATTCAGCGTAAGAAATGTTGCCATCTTTGTTGGTGTCCATGCCTTCGATCTTGGCGCGTAGAGTCGGTGTGATGTCAATACCGATCTCTTGGAGTCCAGTCACCACCTCCGATTTACTGGCGAATCCGTTTCCATTAGTGTCGAACTTAGCAAACAACTTGCGCCAGGTATCGGTCCTGTCAGGTGGACAGTGGTGGATGTTAGCATGGACAGTGCGAGATGTTAGCATGGACAGTGGTGGCTGTTAACATAGACAGTGATGGATGTTAACATGGACAGTGGTGGATGTTAACATGGACAGTGGTGGATGTTAGCATGGACAGTGGTGGATGTTAGCATGGACAGTGGGAGATGTTAGCATGGACAGTGGGAGATGTTAACATGGACAGTGGTGGCTGCTAACATGGACAGTGGTGGATGTTAACATGGACAGTGGTGGATGTTAACATGGACAGTGGTGGATGTTAACATAGACAGTGGTGGGTGTTAGCATGGACAGTGGTGGATGTTAACATGGACAGTGGTGGATGTTAGCATGGACAGTCGTGGATGTTAGCATAGACAGTGGTGGATGTTAGCATGGACAGTGATGGATGTTAACATGGACAGTGGTGGATATCAAAATGGACAGTGATGGATGTTAATATGGACAGTGATGGATGTTAGCATGGACAGTGATGGATGTTAGCATGGACAGTGGTGGGTGTTAACATAGACAGTGATGGATGTTAACATGGACAGTGGTGGATGTTAACATGGACAGTGGTGGATGTTAGCATGGACAGTGGTGGATGTTAGCATGGACAGTGGGAGATGTTAGCATGGACAGTGGGAGATGTTAACATGGACAGTGGTGGCTGTTAACATGGACAGTGGTGGATGTTAACATGGACAGTGGTGGATGTTAACATGGACAGTGGTGGATGTTAACATAGACAGTGGTGGGTGTTAGCATGGACAGTGGTGGATGTTAACATGGACAGTGGTGGATGTTAGCATGGACAGTCGTGGATGTTAGCATAGACAGTGGTGGATGTTAGCATGGACAGTGATGGATGTTAACATGGACAGTGGTGGATATCAACATGGACAGTGATGGATGTTAATATGGACAGTGATGGATGTTAGCATGGACAGTGATGGATGTTAGCATGGACAGTGGTGGGTGTTAACATGGACAGTGGTGGATGTTAACATGGACAGTGATGGATGTTAACATGGACAGTGATGGATGTTAGCATGGACAGTGGTGGATGTTAACATGGACAGTGGTGGATGTTAACATGGACAGTGGTGGATGTTAACATGGACAGTGGTGGATATCAACATGGACAGTGGTGGATGTTAGCATGAACAGTGATGGATGTTAGCATGGACAGTGGTGGATATCGACATGGACAGTGATGGATGTTAACATGGACAGTGATGGATGTTAACATAGACAGTAGTGGATATTAACATGGACAGTGATGGATGTTAACATGGACAGTGGTGGATGTTAACATGGACAGTGGTGGATGTTAGCATGGATAGTGGTGGATGTTAACATGGACAGTGGTGGATGTTAACATGGACAGTGGTGGATGTTAGCATGGACAGTGGTGGATATCGACATGGACAGTGATGGATGTTAGCATGGACAGTGGTGGATATCGACATGGACAGTGATGGATGTTAACATGGACAGTGATGGATGTTAATATAGACAGTGGTGGATATTTACATGGACAGTGATGGATGTTAACATGGACAGTGATGCATGTTAACATAGACAGTGGTGGATATTTACATGGACAGTGGTGGATGTTAACATGGACAGTGATGGATGTTAACATGGACAGTGGTGGATATCAACATGGACAGTGGTGGATGTTAGCATGAACAGTGATGGATGTTAGCATGGACAGTGGTGGATATCGATATGGACAGTGATGGATGCTAACATAGACAGTGGTGGATATTAACATGGACAGTGATGGATGTTAACATGGACAGTGGTGGATGTTAACATGGACAGTGGTGGATGTTAGCATGGACAGTGGTGGATGTTAGCATGGACAGTGGTGGATGTTAGCATAGACAGTGGTGGATGTTAACATGGACAGTGGTGGATGTTAGCATGTTAAAGGACCCTTTCTCATGGACAGTGGTGGTTAGTACTTGTAATAAGTTCTTCTGGTTCTAAAGAGAGAGGATTATATGGCCCTGTATTGATTTAAATGTTAGTCCTTAGTCCAGGAATGTTTTATCTTGGTCAAGGTCGTACTGTAGGCCGTTCACTGTGAGTGACAGGTCACTGGTTAGCCAATTTGATTTGATAGGTACTTCGGAGGAGGAGCTTAAGCCATCATCTTGAGGGTTGGGTAAAAACTAAGGAAAGGGAGGAGTTTAATTTGGACAATAGATTGATACTTATACTTCGAGCCTGTGGAATTTCCGTCATTAATCGCAGCCTGCCGGCAAACAACACAGATCGACCTAAAAGGTAAATTTTACGGTCGCATTCTGTTTTGGCGATTAATGGAAAGTTCCCAGGTGAGAGAAAATAGTGATTTTAATCTTGTATACTTAGGTTAGGGAGTTAAGCTTTTAGTCTATACTACCTTTTCCTAATTTGTCTGCACATTCTGCTTGAAATAGTTCTTTGTGAATGTTCAGTATCTCAGTTAGGGAACTGCTAAACTATTCCTATTTCTTGTATGTTTGTGTCACATGTTTTTCATTGTATGTTTTCATGTGTATAAAATAAGATGTGAACAATGACATTTGCTATAATGAAATGTAATTATATTGTTTTCACGATCAGCCAAAATATGAGTTGGGACTGTGGGAAATGATGCCCAAATATGTGCAGGGATGCTGCTACGTTTTGTGTGCCCACCATGTGCTCACTTAATGTGTTCACCTGAACAGGGGATTTATAACCCCAGGGGAAGAATGATGGGTGTACAGTATTCACGGTCACTGAAAGATAATATTCAGGACAGCGTGCACATATAAATTGTTTGCGGGTTCAGCACATAACCTGCGCCACGTGGTCATGTAATATCAATGTCAGCCAGTTGTTCGAAGTCTGAGTGAAGACGGACAACAGACTTAGAAAGTCAACTATCATGACATAGCATTTGAGGGAAGGCAGGATATGTGACGCCCATGTAAGACAAAAGACCTTCAGACTAGACTGGAGAGGATGTGGAATATGAGGAGGAGTGATGGGCTATATCTTATTATTATATGTTGTATTAATTGATACATGTATTCTTAGTGTAAGTCAAGATACTACACGTATGTGTTTTGTTTCCATGATTACAGCGCCCATGTGACAATCAGTCCATGAAGTAGCCTACATTGTGTTAGACTCGGCCAGCTGGGAACCAGGTGGAGAACGAGGTGGGGATGAAGTGGAGAATAAGCTGAAACAGGCAGACAACAGGCAAGGAAGAGTTGGACAAGCTTGACAGTTCCTCACGGCTGTCAGAGGCTTATAAGTTGAGTTAACCCCTTTATGTTAACCTATTATCATCATTATCATACCACTCTAAACCCCGAGCTGTTTGTCTCGCTGACGCTTATAACCTCTTTACGTTAACCAGTCACTGTTTGTGTAAATCAACAAACTGGGAATTTCATTGTAGTAAATAAAGCTGTATGTCAAGTTTTAAAACTACATAGTTTGTTAAATTCCAAATGTCTGTTCTTACATGTTTAAGTAAACTGTTAAGATAGAATACCATTTGGTGGGGGCTCAAATAATATAATAATTCTTTAATTATTCATAATAAAACCGGGAGAAGGTAGATGACGGAGGAATCACTTGCCCTGTCTAATTATTCATTAAGTATGATAGACATCTAAAATTCCTTGCCTTCTCTTGTGGGTACCAAGTGCAGCTAATGTTAAAGTACTTAACGAGCCAATATGGTTGTTTTCTTGGGTATCCAGGACTGTGTCTGAGAGCAACATAGCTCAGATTATAGTTCCGTTAATCTGGTGGAGGGAATGTGTTGAGAGGAACATCACTACTCAACAACATAAACATTTAAACCACGCGTCACGTCACACGCCTTCTGACCTACTGGGCACATAGGGCTAGACCTATACTTTATAGACGGATCGGCACTCAGTGGGTGATGTGGCCAACATCATCGCCTTTACTTCCCAGGACTTTACCTCGTACCTATTTTAAACTGGGTCGACCTGACAGCCAAGGTCATTTTTGTAGGAAAGAAGTCCAGCTCTTTAATGATCTGAACCCACTACCTTTGGATCCCAAGCGAGCGTCTAGCCGCTACGCCACGACGGCTCCCCGTTGATGTAGTAATAGCAGAAATAGCAGTAGTAGTAGTAGCAGCAGCAGCAGCCGTAGTAGTAGTAGCGGTAGTTACAAAAGAACGATAGCCAACATATTAGTAGCAGTGTGGTTATCCTTATGTTTATTAGACGGATCAACTTCACGGCACACGGGTGTAATCCATAAGTGCTTCGTTCTACCTCTGACTCAAGCCTCAGTCTGAAGAATCTCAGCTCAGTGCTCAAACTCCGTTGCACCGGCGAGGATCCTTAAATACTTTAGGTAGATTTTTAACTCCAAATTTTTCCCTGGCAGCGCCGTTAAGCTACTCTTTTAGATTTCCAACTGCCAATGGAATTTTTACGTGCGCAACAAACAGGCGTCCGATCTTACTACACAGAGACCAGAGAAAATGACTAGACGCCCACGTGAAAATATCCCAGCCTTCACCGGGGCTTGAACCAGGGACCTCCAGCACTCGAGGCAGACACCATACCTCGAGACCACTTAACCCCCTAGCAGCAGTAGTAAACGTCGTAAGAACAGCAGGGGTAATAGTTGTAACTACGTCAGTAGTGGTAATACTAGTAGTAGTTGCAATGATGTGGGGGTAATCGATGAAGTTAAAAGTGGTAGTTGTAGTTAATGATGATGTTCTGATAGTAAATTTACTTTGATCTGATTTCCTCGTTTGACATCAACTTCAGGTAATCGTCTAAGGTCATGAGGCCACCGTCAGGCAGGCCAATGGAAGTCCATATTTTCTGCAGACAGAGCAACAAACAATGTTCGCAATCAGGAATTGGAAATCTTCTGTTTCATTTCATTCTTCTTGCCACGATTTTCATGGCTACCCACTACTATAAAGTCTGCGATGCGACGCGTGTCGTAGTCCTCTGTTCCACACAGCTTGGTTCATATTCGATCGCCAACCGACTAAACCTGGGGTATCTCTACTGCACGTAGGAAGCATGTCTGTAGCAGATGCTCAGTATGAAATGTGAAAAAAGGGAGGGATTTTGGTAAGTTAATAAAGAGAAGCATCGATGTCTCTATTTCATCCCACATCCAAACTGTTAATTCAAGGTTTGATCGGCCCAGAGACTTCAGGATTAACGAACACAGACAGATGAGGGAGTGAGTGCGCCAGTAAAAACAAACACAGACAGATGAGGGAGTGAGTGCGCCAGTAAAAACAAACACAGATAGATGAGGGAGTGAGAGCGCCAGTAAAAACAAACACAGACAGATGAGGGAGTGAGTGCGCCAGTAAAAACGAACACATACAGATGAGGGAGTGAGTGCGCCAGTAAAAACAAACACAGACAGATGAGGGAGCGAGTGCGCCAGTAAAAACGAACACAGACAGATGAGGGAGTGAGTGCGCCAGTAAAAAAAAAACACAGACAGATGAGGAAGTGAGTGCGCCAGAAAAAAAAAAAACACAGACAGATGAGGGAGCGAGTGCGCCAGTAAAAACGAACACAGACAGATGAGGGAGTGAGTGCGTCAGTGAAAACAAACACAGATAGATGAGGGAGTGAGTGCGCCAGTGAAAACGAACACAGACAGATGAGGGAGTGAGTAAAAAAAAAATAGAGAGACAGAATCCTTCTTTTTCTTGTCTAACCCTGTTTTGTCTGTCAGGGTCAAGTTTTGAAAGGGCATCGAATGTGAGCCTTGGTATGTACTATGAAAGGTTGGTATTTACGACTTTTGATATTACATCCATCCATCGCTTGTGTGGTTTACCTCTAGCTCTGAATCTTTTACAGAAAGAAAAAAAAAAACAAGAGGATAAAGGGATGTCCTCACCTCAACCTCCTCCTCGTCGCTGGGGTATCCTAGCAACAGCATTAGTCTTGTGAACTCCTCCAGTCTCAGGTGGTTGTCTTTGGTCATGTCCCCAAGGGATTGGAACTCTGGCCCAACAAACACAACAGTCAGTTAAAAACGTTTCGACATTTTCAGTCACTGAACATGTTTTTGTACACTAGCGACACACCTCGCATTTATTGTCACTAACATCTCTCCTTGTGTTTGTCGTTTCGCATCACACACGTTTTGTTGTGACTACATACGGAACTCGAATTTGGTTGTTATTATTAACAAATCTTGTATTTATTTAACCGTCGCCGGTCTCAGGTCTTGTGTTTTCATTCGATCACACATATAACCACATCAACTGCCTTGTCCACGTTCTGGAGACACAAACATTAAAACAATACTTTTCTCAGTTCGACTCGCCCCATCTACCTACCTACCTACCTACCTACCTACCTACCTACCTACCTACCTACCTACCTACCTACCTACCTACCTACCTACCTACCTACCTACCTACCTACCTACCTACCTACCTACATACATACATACATACATACATACATACATACATACATACATACATACATACATACATACATACATACATACATACATACATACATACATACATACATACATACATACATACATACATACATACATACATACATACATACATACATACATACATACATACATACATACATACATACATACATACATACATACATACATACATACATACATACATACATACATACATACATACATACATACATACATACATACATACATACATACATACATACATACATACATACATACATACATACATACATACATACATACATACATACATACATACATACATACATACATACATACATACATACATACATACATACATACATACATACATACATACATACATACATACATACATACATACATACATACATACATACATACATACATACATACATACATACATACATACATACATACATACATACTTACAAACATACATACACACACACACATATATGTATATATATATATATATATATATATATATATATATATATATATATGTATATATATATATATATATATATATATATATATATATATATATATATATATATATATATATATATATATATATATATATGTGTATATATATTAGGGCTGTACCGAATATTCGCTTCGGGACCGAATAGTGGACCTAATAACTATTCGGTATTCGGCTGAATACTTGCGGTCGGGCCGAATACGAATAGTGGTTACCTTACACGCGTTTCTGCAAACACTGCGATAATTGCTGTTGCATAAGTCGCTTTCATGCATTAACTTAGCTGTCAGTGACAATTTACAAGTTCAGTTACTTGTTATAAAACTAAGAATACTTTTATTCTAATGTATTAGTTACCACAGACTGACTGACTGAAGGATGCAAAACATAAAATGATTTTAAATGTTTACTATTCTGTACTACATTTTGTGAAGTATATAATTTCAGCGCACATTTGACATTATGAATGTTGTTTTAGATCTGTTTTATACACTATACACTATTCGAAAGTGGAAGAATGGGCCTTAGTTTGAATAGTGGGCAGACAGATATAATGGTGGTATCAAAGAAAAGAATTATTCCTAAATGTGTAATAAAAGTCGATGGTGTTATTTTAGGACAAGTACAGAGGTTTAAGTATCTGGGCACATGCATAGCATCAAATGGAAGTTGCGTAACTAAGATAAGAAACAGAATAGGACAGGCAAAAACTGCATTTTATAAAATAAAGAACATCTTGTGCAATATATTCTTGTCGTTTGAGAATTGGAAAAAAGAATTCTTGTTTGCTACATACGTCCAGTTTTAACATATGGCTGTGAATCCTGGACGATCGGTAGGCAGGCCAAACAATTTCTTGAGGCCTCAGAGATGTGGTTTTAAAGAACAATGCGTAAAATACCTTGGACAGCAGCAACCACGAGGGTTCGAAAGAGGCGGGAGCCCGAATATAACTAATCACAGACATCAGAAGGAGACAGTTATACTTTTTCGGCAATGTTATGAGAAGAGGGAAAATGGAGCATGTGGAGACCACTGGAAAGATCTGTGGAATGAGAGATAGAGGAAGACAACGAGAGAAGATTCTTGACAGTCTTGGTGCATGGCATGGAGGTGTGTCAGCACACGAACTGATACATGCTGCAGGAGATCGTAGATTGTGGCGAGGCATAATCGCCCACACCAGTCAGCTAAGCACCTGATGATGATGATAACTATTCGTATTCGGCCGAATAGTTGGTCCAGCTATTCGTATTCGGCCGAATAGTGAAAATCACTATTCGGTACAGCGTTCGCTTAAGCAGAAGAAAAAACCAACCAGCCGTGAAGTAGAGCAGCCTCGTGTCCTCCCTGAACTCCGGCTCAACGGTTTCAGTCTCACACTCTTTCTTCTTGAAGAGAAAACTGAGCAGTGCTGCTGCCATGGCCAGCTGGTCGAAAGGGCACTAGATGATGGTGTCCACGAAGGGTCAGCGAACTCCCGACTCTGACAGTACACAGCTGGATCCTACTGAGGTGAGAAATGCCAATGGAACATTTGGACAATTGCAATGATATAAGCAGACAGGCAAGTGCAACGATACAATCGTACAGGCAAGTGCAACGATACAATCGTACAGGCAAGTGCAACGATACAATCGTACAGACAAGTGCAACAATACAATCGTACAGGCAAGTGCAACGATACAATCGTACAGGCAAGTGCAACATGACAATCGTACAGGCAAGTGCAACGATACAATCGCACAGGCAAGTGCAACGATACAATCGTACAGGCAAGTGTAACGATACAATCGTACAGGCAAGTGCAACGATACAATCGTACAGGCAAGTGCAACGATACAATGATACAGGTGCAATTATACTTTACTCAAACAAGCCAACTAATACAGTCAGGTAAACAAGCTCCTGTGATACATTCGGATAAACAAATACAGTGGGAACATTCTGATAAACAGCACAATGGTACAGTTGGACAAATAAGCGCAGTAATTTTTTTTTTTTTTTTTAAAAACCCAGCTCATTGAGAAGAGAGTCCGGCCATCTTTCGATTCGCATGCATCTGTCGTCTTCTCTGCCTGTGCAGCAAAATCTCATCTGCGCAACCACAAGTTAATTTCTGTTTGTAGTTTGTTAGTAAATATTTTGTGGTTATCCGCACTAAGGTTCTATACAGAACTCTTCTGAGTTGGAGTTAATTATTCTAAGCTCATTTGTTATTGTGATATTGTGAAGCCAAATAGTTGTACTTTTAAGCTGGCTTGATATCTTTTTATGAGAAAATAGACAACACTTCACCTGTAACACTTCACCTGTAACACTTCACCTGTAACACTTCACCTGTAACACTTCACCTGTAACACTTCACCTGTAACACTTCATCTGTAACACTTCACCTGTAACACTTCACCTGTAACACGTCATCTGTAACACTTCACTTGTAACACTTCACCTGTAACACTTCACCTGTAACACTTCACCTGCAACACTTCACCTGTAACACGTCATCTGTAACACTTCACCTGTAACACTTCACCTGTAACACTTCACCTGTAACACTTCACCTGTAACACTTCACCTGTAACACTTCACCTGCAACACTTCACCTGTAACACGTCATCTGTAACACTTCACCTGTAACACGTCATCTGTAACACGTCACCTGTAACACTTCACCTGTAACACTTCACCTGTAACACTTCATCTGTAACACTTCACCTGTAACACTTCACCTGCAACACTTCACCTGCAACACTTCACCTGCAACACTTCACCTGTAACACTTCACCTGTTACACTTCATCTGTTACACTTCACCTGTAACACGTCATCTGTAACACGTCACCTGTAACACTTCACCTGTGACACTTCACCTGTAACACTTCACCTGTAACACTTCACCTGTAACACTTCACCTGCAACACTTCACCTGCAACACTTCACCTGTAACACTTCACCTGCAACACTTCACCTGCAACACTTCACCTGCAACACTTCACCTGTTACACTTCACCTGTAACACTTCACCTGTAACACTTCACCTGTTACACTTCTCCTGTAACACTTTCCCTGTAACACGTCACCTGTAACACGTCACCTGTAACACTTCACCTGTTACACTTTACCTGTATCACTTCACCTGTATCACTTCACCTGTAACACTTCACCTGTAACACTTCACCTGTTACACTTCACCTGTAACACTTCACCTGTATCACTTCACCTGTAACACTTCACCTGTAACACTTCACCTGCAACACTTCACCTGTAGCACGTCACCTGTAACACTTCACCTGTAACACTTCACCTGTTACACTTCACCCGTAACACGTCACCTGTAACACTTTACCTGCAACACTTTACCTGTAACACTTCACCTGTAACATGTCACCTGTAACACGTCACCTGTAATACTTCACCTGTAACACTTCACCTGTAACATTTCACCTGTAACACTTCACCTGTAACACTTCACCTGCAATACTTCACCTGTTACACTTCACCAAAAACACTTCACATGTAACACTTCACCTGTAACACGTCACCTGTAACATTTCACCTGTAACATTTCACCTGCAACACTTCACCTGCAATACTTTACCTGCAACACTTCACCTGTAACACGTCATCTGTAACACGTCACCTATAACACGTCACCTGTAACACTTCATCTGTAACACTTCACCTGTATGCCTGTATCTATCGTTTAAAAACAAACTAAACTTGAGCAGGCACGTCGCCATGTCACCCAAGACTGACTGATCAATCGTTTCAACAATACCCAATCATTTACTACAAGTACAAACTGTGCCATCTTCACAGTGATGGCTGTCTGCAATGTGTCCCCTGCTAACTATGGAGATATTACGTGCTGAGGTCCCCATCTTTTCCACGGTTTGAATCTCGTTCGACGATCTGAATGCCTCGAAAACTCCTTTTTTTCTAAATCAGCCACCGGGGGAATCAAACCCCGATGAACATCGGCATTGCATTGTGAAACGATTTGACCAACCTTTAAGTTACAGAGTCAAACGATTACCTGGCCACTGACAAAGTCAAACAATATTCCTCGACAGGGTGAAACTTCCAGTCAATGTCGATGTTGGAGGAATACTGTTTCGAATAATAATCTAATTTATCTACAGTCAAGAAAGAAGAAAGATCCTACAGTGCACAGTCGAATATTTAACTAATGCACAATGCACAATTTATTGCCAGGCATATTTCTCTGTGTCTCGTCAGGTGCGTGACCATACAGACTTAGATCTTACAACTTACAGTCATTAATGGCTGATGGTTGACGACACACACGTTCAACACGTGCCTGTGAGTGGCTGCGCGAGGGAGAGCCTGTTTGTGAACATATTGGCGTATGTATGTGTGTCAGATGTTGAGATGTAGTCAGCCATATGTAATGTATGAGTGTCAGATGTTGGGATGGAGTCAGCCATCTTTTTGAATGCAACAGATGTCGAAGTTATAAAGTCGCGACGGAAATTTAGAAAACACAAAACAAGCAGGTGATGTTTGAGTGTGTTGTTCCCGCATGGCGGATACATATTGTTGCAAACAGGACATTGATCACTAGACAGCTGGAAGAAATTGAATTGTATGTGAGCTAATAATGTGGGGCCTAGGGAGACAGACAGCTGTAGTGGCATAGTTGTAGACACCCACATACCAACACTAAAGCCTGGGGTTCAAATACACATCCAGCTGAATGTTTCCCAAATCGTGTTTCTCTAGTAAGTGTACCTAGCCTAATATGGCAGCTTGTAATGTCCTTGTAACCGGTTGGCGTGGGATTAATGACACTGCCCATCGAGTACCTATTGACCTATAAACATATAAGTATCTTATATAAAGTAAACAAACAAACAATGTATTGATGGACGCTTATAGAACGAAGTAGAAAGATAGAAGGACAGACTAGACAACATGCAAATCGAAATTATAGTTATATTTCGTGCGCAGAAACATTCTTAGAATATCGAAGACTAAGAAGAAGACACGTTAACATCCGGCATGGCCTCAACATCAAGGAAAACCGGTTAAATTGGACGCTAGGCAAGGCCACTGTTTGAAGCCGAGGCAAATTTTTTGCTTCTGCCGGACGGTGGTCGATGCATTTTTGTTCCATTTGTAGACTGGATATAGTTTCGTCGCCCAGCTTCTGAGTTGAATGCATGGCGTGACCCTGTGAGCTGCGGATTTCATTTGGAATGCTTTTTCGACTGTGACCAACGTGGCGGTGTGAATTGTAGATTCAGAAAATGGCACGATGCCTGTCATCGCAATTTTGGTGGTGCCCTTATGTGATAAAAATTTATCGCGTGGGCAACTGCTGATCTGTTGGTAACTTCTGCTACCATCAGTGATGAACTGCATTTCTAATGTCAGACTGTTTGTGTTAGCACTTCGGATGGCTACCGTATGCTTTAATGCGAATGTATGCTAGATATGCCGAGACAGCAGTCTGTCAATCTTTCCACAAGGGACTGTGATAAACATTCTGTGTGTTTTTCGTTCGCACAGGAGCGGAGCAAAGATGGCGTGACCCGTTTGCTATAAAGCTAAAACTAAGACTACCAGACTATCAAGGAAAACTGGCTCGTACACAGCATCTTCTCGCGAAAGCTGAATTATTTAGGTCATGCTGAGCTGCATGATGGTATGAAGAAAACGGGATGGAGGCTGCGGTTTCCGGAGACAGAAGCTGGTCTCCGTGGAGGTGGATGCAGGACACCGAAGACGCCTTGGCTATGAAAGTACATAGGGCTGGGCAACTGGCTAAAGAAAGAGAAACTTGTAGGCGTGCCGTGAAGACAGCGACGCTTTGTGAAGGGACACGCTGATTGGTGGATAAAAAATATGGCAAGCGAATATGGTAAATCCGAGGTAGGTCGTTGAACTTTTTAAAATGTAAATAATTGAGACAGCTGTAAAGGTCACAGTAAAATACTTCAACCCCCCCCCCCCCTCACATTTGCAGTCTGCGGGAGTAACATCTCAAGAATGAGAATCACACCGGTGCAGTCAGGGAGTTCTCATTCAAGGCATTAACACATGGCACAGCTATATTTGTGCACCACAGTCACTGGTAGTCATGTGGGGGGTGGGGGGATAGTTCAACGTGAGAGTGCAATACAACTTCAATTAAGTATGAAATTGAAAGCCTCAACTCTGCCTTCTGTTGCACGCATCACTTCACTACACATATATTCATTGCACACATGTTTCGGTGACTCATATATCCCACAACACCAGTTGTAGGCCCCCAACTACTAGAGACATCTGGCAAAACACAATTAAACACTTCAGTTATTTTCAACTTCCGTCAGGTTTTTATGAATCTATCACGCACTGACATTATCATGCTTACTTCCCCTGATTGTTTAAATGTGGACTTCTAGTAATTTATTCTG